GGAGTGAGGGGTTTTAGCCACTGGATCACCAGGGAAGTCCCTCACTGTCCCTTATGCTTACTGCCAAGAACAGAGAGTCACCGTGAGACCTGAGGGTGACTCTACCAACCAGTGGGATGAAATGCCATGCAAACTAATTTCTGTTGTTGGATCCCTAAGAATGATGGAACCATGGTTCTTAAACATCTCAGAAATAATGAAACCTGTCTCGGTACTGAATTTCTTGTCAGTTGGTACCCTCACTCTATGTATAGCAATGATCACAGAACATAAATAACCCACCTCCTCCCCTACCAGCCCTGTTTCCCTAATCTGGTGCAACGAGTCATTCAACCAAGGTGAGGAGATGAGTGGGGATGCTGACATTGGTTTAGAAAGGATTGTGAGACTTAGAAAAGAACTCATTTTCTTTATTTATTTGGCTGCACCGGGGCTTGTGTGGCATGCAGGATATTTAGTGGTGGCATGCAAACTCAGTTGCAGCATGTGGGATCTGACTCCCTGACCAGGAATCGAACCCTGGCCCCCTGTATTGGGACCTACTGGACCACGAGGGAAGTCTCTAAGCACATTTTCCTGTTTTGAATAGTGGTTTAGCAGCTAGTACTCCGTAATATGGGTGTTAACAGTCTTAGGAAACTGGGTGGTCAAGTTGGCCCAGCTGGCTTATTACGAAGCACTGGGGAGTTTTGCATCCTCCATTCTTGAAATGATGCATATACGGCATGGAGTGGAGTGTCTAGAAGGCAGCGCCTCTACTGCCTGAATGAATGGTAAATAAGCCACACCGTCACCCCTACCTGCTCCCTGACACCAGGTGACTCTGAGGGCCCCCAGTGACCTGTGTCCTGGGACATCTCTGCTCCAGCGGAAGTGGGCACCAGGCTGGCGGTGCAGGCTGTGCACGCTGACCTTTTTCTGTTATAGCTAGAGCAGGGACAATGCTCTGAAGTGGGAAACAAAGGTCCAGCAGCTTTCTTCTAGCTCAAAAACCTACGTTCTATGCAAGTGGTCTTGTACAGCACAGTGTTGAAAACTACGACCCTTGACAGAGAGGAACAGTGATGACTTAGCGAAGACCTGCTTGGAGGTTGTTAATTGCTAATGTGTCACGAACGCTTGTTCCAGCGGAGTCGCCCTTGGGACTCGGCTGCTGAAGTTCCTAGCATAGTGAGAATGGGTCCCACCGAGCACAGTTCCCCTGCAAGGATCATGGATGACGGAGTCAGGAGGGATGGCTTCTGGATCCTGGGTAATAGCGTCCACCCCAGATGGCAGCTTCGTTGGGGATCACAGGTGCCCCGGGAGATCAGCGTTGCGATCGTGGAGGCGTGAGCAAAATGGAGAGTGCCTCCCAATGTGCCACAGGCCCAGTTACCAACAATCGCCTTCAAATGCCTTCTGACCTAGGAATGAAGCATGGATTGGCCCCGGATGCTTTCCAGCCATTCACTCAGCAGTGGTCACTTGGGCAGGAAGCAGCCCTGGGAGGCCAGGGCATCCCACATGGCTTGGCTTTTGCCAGCCAATAGTGTGGTGTTCACAGCCTCTGGAGGTGGGCAAGGCCAGGTGGAAGGCTTTGGTCATCAGCTGAACCACACCAGGCACATACGACTTGCCTGCTGCGAGGCGACACATCAGCCTCTTGGATGCGCCGGACCCAGAGGCTCTGAGCCACGCCAGGGCTTGCCTGGTGGGTGATAACGGTAAATAGGGTACCTCTCCCTCTTTTCATCTTCCTTTCCTACTTTCCTAGGCTGGCATTTCCCATCTTGCTAATCTGAACAAATTGCTGTTTAAAATCTGTTAGACGTGTACAAGTAAGTATAAATGAGGACCTGCTGCCCCAGCCCATCTGGTGGGCTCCGCAGTGTAACCTTCTTTAGGGTGATCTGCCCACCCATAGCTCAGATCAAGTGTTTGGTTCCTACCCAACAGCATTTCAAGAGAATTCAGCAGCCATTCTTCGGCTCAGCTGCTCGAAATCTATATTGTTTTTAATTTTTGACATGTGGGACCTTAGTTCTCCAACCAGGGATTGAACCCACACCCTCTACATTGGAAGTACAGAGTCTTAACCATTGGACCTCCAGGAAACTCCCTCAAAATCTTTTTAATTACTTCACTTAGAGGCACAGAGCTAAGAAGAGGTCTACCTGGCATTTGACTTACCCGAGAGAGATAAAGAAGTTATTAAAATCTCTTGTTCTTTGAACACAATCATGACAGCGATAAATATGGATGTTTTCTGACCCGCAAGGCCACCTTGGAATCCCAGATGAGGTTACACTTAGGGAATGGATGACGCAAACACATGCCTCCAGTTCCATTTTATTAAAAAACAAAACCAAACAAAATTTTGCAATGGAATTTCCTGGAATTCACAATCCTTTTCAAATGTTCATAATTGCATGTTTTTTGAACTTTACAGAAGAACATGGTTGCACTTATTTACACGATAGTCTTCTATATAATAAAAAGAGCCATGTTGTAGGATTGAATGATTCCAATTATTAGCCTTAATATCTCATCATTAGCCCGTATGAGACAAACAGCTTCTGCTCTCCAAGCACACAGAGGATAGAAAAAGCAAAATAAAAGTTGTCTCCTAATAGAAGACAATTCCCGTTAAAGATGATTTCTTTTAAACTTCTGTGTATTTCAAGAGGGATATAAAGTGCTTTAGAAGGAGTAAGGTAGGTGCCTGAGGTGGGGAAGAAGAAAAAGAGAAATACAGAAAAATTAAAATGAAACCCAATAACTACACCATCTGAACTAATCATTTAAATATGCCTGTGACTTCTATAGAAGATAATGTTTGGGTAGAACAGCAACATAATTCACTACTAAAAAATTTTTTTTTAACAAATAAGAACAAACCAAAGTCCAAATAAGAAGTTACTTGTGAAAAGGCCGTGAGGTGTAACTTTGGTGATTTTTAGTCATATGGCAAAAAAAAAAAAAAAAAAAAAACAAGGAAAAAGTCTCATAATCTGAGTATCGCGAAATTGAGTTAGGGACCATCACACGTGGGATCTTCAGACCGGCCAGAAAGACCTCGAGATGACGCCGAGTGAAACTCTACCAGTGACGTTGTTCGTTTTACAATGAAAGCACATCATCTGTGTTGGCAGCGGGTGGTGGGTGGGTAATAAATTCACTGAATTTTTTTCTTGTTAGTAGGAAGGGACTAGACATTGGTTTAAGATGTCATGTATGAACTATTTCCGAATGGCAAATTCATTCTTTGTAGGAAATTTTTCCCCCCAAACGGAAATAATAATATCCTCCCTAAAGAGGTTAAAATACGTTGGTTTTTCTTTTCTTTTCACATTGCTGAGCTGTCAGTTGCTGGTCTTGATCTGCAGTCCACAGAATCAGCGTCTTGTATATCCTGCTTGGGAGGCTCTTCCCAGAAACTAGAATAATCATCCTTCCAGCTTGTGAACATTTAAAAGAACAACACCCATTATTTTTTCAAGAAACGAATGGAATGTAACTTTTCACAAGTACAAAATTACTTCAAGTTTTCTAAATATAAGGGACATCTCACTATAAAAATAACAACCCCTCCCTCCCCTCCCCCACCTCGACATCTCTTTCTAATTATAAAATGGTACAACCATTTCAGATTACTAATGTGAAAGCAGGAAGTAAATATATTATGTACACGTACAAAACACATCAGTATCTCACACCATTTACATTCATATGAAAGAAATCTGTTTATTGATCTTCCTTTGCAATTTGACAAGAAAAAAGTTGAGATAACGTTACAAAACAATTAGGCCCTTGTCTTAGAACTCTGCACAAACATTCCAGCCAGAGGCATCTCCTTTGCAAACAGAGCAGACAATATCCTTTCAACATTTTGGGGAAGATGGGGGCTGCTGACAGAGAGACGTTCCATGGGGCCCTCCTCCAGTTTTCAGAGTTTGTGACATTCCTCCCTATTTTTGACAAAAGTGGACCAAATTCTCAACTACTGAGGAAACTACAATAAAAGGCAAATCACTACTAGTTGTTGAGGAAATGGTGACTCTCGTCAGACGAGTTGGCTGAGAGGATAACGGTGAGAACTCCAGCAGAGGGCACCCTGCTCCCTTGCAACCTTGCAATAACATCCCGTTTAACACTAAATACCGTAGACGCCAACACAAACACAGACTGAAAAGTCCTCATGTTAATAGTCCTGCCGCTGCTTCATCATCTGTTACTACAGGCAATAGTTTGGTATGTTCTTCAAAAGAGCAGGATATGCTATGATTAACTAGCTCTTATACACGAAAATTCTTTGGCTATTTAAAATCTTCACATTCTCAAAGAGAACAATATTCTGAGTTCAACAAAGCGCTCAATTTGTCTGAAACTTTTGAGGGAAAAGGAGACCAAGCACTCGACTGTCAAGATGGGCCAGTACTAAGGCCATGATACCTTTTTTTTTTTTTCTTTTTTAGATTTCTGGATTTCATAAGAGAAATCCAGCCTGCAAGAGAAAACCCCCTAAGATTTCATTTCATTCACAGTTTCATTCGACCAAGCGAACCAACTTTTATTTACGAGCACATTGGGAAAAAGTTAAACTAGCCACTGGAAGAAACATGTGTCCATTTGGATGGTGGACACATGTTTGGATGGTCTTTGGTTTATACAGTACACATGGTCTCCCACCTGATTTTCTCTACTGCTCCAAGTCCTTCACTTCACTAAGGATGACAAGACCACAGATGTCCTGCCAAGCAACGACTTCAGGTGACTCAGAATGAGGTACCTTCTCCATGGGTTTTTCTCCCTCCCTCTCTTCAGACCTGCAGAGCCTCTGGAGAGATGAATGTTTTTGACTTTTCATTATCCTCAACAAATATTTATCCAGTGGCCAGAGACAGAATGGCTTGGTGGTAAATGCAAATGTTAACAGTGGCACAAGGATGAGAAGGTCTTTAATCACAGAGATTTCTGGAGAAGCCACTTGATCATGAAGCACTCAAGGCAGGCATCATTTAGAAGACAGTAAAGAGAGCTGTAAATGACCTCAGCAGCTCCTTTGCAGAATGAGCGGGTTTTGCAATTAAAGGGCTTGATAATGAAGCGTCTGCATCCAGGGTCTGGATGCACTGCTCGAGTTTGGGGATGATTAATTCAGTGACACCCAAAGGCTCAAAGAGCACAGTGTGGCTACTCGCCTGTGGGTCTTTATAAATTACAAAGGGCCTGGAGTCATGAGATGGGGAGGGGAGGGCAGGAAGGTAAGAGGCTAGGATGAGAAACGCACACCTGCTTCTCAGAGTTAATTTATTTTTCAGATAATCCCAACCTTCTTTGCAATCAGGAGTGTTTAACGCACAAGCGTTCAGCTCCTTAAGACGAACACAAGCCCCCAGAGAGGTCAGCTGGAAAACTGGAGGATGCTCACTGATTCGGGAAGAGCATCCATGTGCATTCCCTGCCATCCTCTTTGCTAACTTCCGGTGGGTAAAAGCATCCCTCTGTGTATGAGCGCTTAGTTACTCAGTCGTGTCCGACTCTTTGCGACCCTCTGAGCTATAGCCCAGCAGGGTCCTCTGTCCATGGCATTTTTCAGGCACGAAGACTGGAGTGGGGTGCCATTTCCTCCTCCAGGGGATCTTCCCGACCCAGGCATCGAACTGGCATCTCCCGTGTCTCCTGTATTGCAGGAGGATTCTTTACCCGATGAGTCATCAGGAAGCCGTATCCTCACCACCTTTTAATTGCCCTCATCAAAAGTACTGTTCAGTTCTGGCCATGCCAGTAGCACAGAGGGAGTTCTGTGATGCAGGGCACCTCACAAGGAACTATGTGTCTCTCCCTTTGGGGGAATGGTTTCTTTCTGCCTCTTTTTCAGTCTCGAGGAAGAAGTGGCCTCTCAGATCACTTACAAAGAGCAAGTTCTTGTGCCAAGATGTTAAGAAGCAGGAGTGGACATTGGATACGGTACAGCCCATGTGTTTTTCCAAGAAATCCTAACCCTGGGGGCCTGTGGTGAATTGAGAAGGTCACAGATGCTGGGGGTGGAAGATAACCGATTAGACAGCATTCTGGAATTGTTACCTTGCCATTATTTGCCTTGGAGACTTTTCTGGCAAGGAAGTCTTTTTTTTTTTTTTTTTTAAGGCAATAGCTAGAGGTGGTCTGTGATAAAATTAGTGACATGAGAAGTGAAAATGAGGCAAACTCCACTACAGAGGAAGTTAATTTGCTTTTATAGTCAACTGGTTTTCCTCATCAGACGTGCAGAGATAGATTCTGCCACACAATAAAAAGAAGAAAAACGTCAACAACAGGAACGACGGTAATCACAATAATAACACCTCTTCAGATCCACTAAGGTTTTTCTGTCCTGAAAGATGGGAAAAGGATGCATGTGGGGGTGTGCATACAAAGAAAGAGATAGGCAGTCAGAGAGAGAGAGACACCCAGACAAAGAAAGGAAAGAAATCTAAATGAAAGTACAATTAAAAAATGCTACCAGAAATGGCTTCAGAGGCTCTGTCTGTTACCACAGAGGGCTGGGTCCTCCCTCCACAGAGGGTGTGACTCTCTCTGCGGTCTTCTGAAAGGGTTTTGCTTTGATGAGGTTTCTTTGTTTTCAGTCCAGGTGATGCATTCAACAGACAACTAAATGCTCTGCAAGAATTTTCATCTCGACCTGATGAACGTGATGGTAGGAAGAGTCCCAAGACAAGCTATCCGTCATCATTTTTGGTTCTGAAAGGATGTCAGCTTCAGGAATGTCAGAGCAGTAACTGAACTAGCCACTGGGTACCATGGATTGGGATGACCAAATCCAGACCCAGGAACATGCAGGATGTTTCCATCAGAATGAGGGAAAACAAAACAGACAGAGAAATCTCTCTGACCTGTGACTGATTCATGTCGATGTATGGCAGAGGCTAACACGATATTGTAAAGCAATTATCCCCCAATTAAAAACAACAACAAAAAAACCCTCTTTGCCTCTATGGTCATGATCATTACTCAGTGATGTAAGAAAAGGTAGATGCCTTTGCTACTTTTAACTTTCTACCTTCTCCAAGCTCTCCCTCACTCCCTGCCAGGATGACAGAGTTGACATTTTAGGGGTAACCAAAACCTAGATAGATGAAATCAAAATACTGATGCTCTATTCATGATCGAAGCTCAGTTCTGCCCAAAGGGACCAGCCACACATGACGCAGCAACTCCTAGAGGGGACTCTAAATTACTCTGAGGGAATGGGGATGCTCGTTTTCTTGCCCACATCCTTGGAGCCGACGGGGGATGCTTACTTCTGAGTTGAGAGCTGATTTCTGAGTTGCAGGGCACCATAATTCACCAACTTGAGGCTGGAAAGTCACAAGCTCTTAAGACTTCTCCTGTATTGAGAAGGCCACACAGAGTCTTGTATTTGGAGTCAATATGTACCTTGCCACTTTTTCGCCCCAAATCCATGCATTTTAGCCATAGTGATGGGGCTAGGGGCCACTGGAAGTAGGAAAAGACCATCTGCAGGGGGACAAGGGGTGGAAGTAAATCTGCATTACTAGAATCTGGAATTCTGTTTGGCTCCTGAGTGCCGCACATCAGTCCAAGGGTGGAAGTGAAGGATATAATTTTGTCTCAGCACCAAACCAACATACTCTGGGTGACTTCTTTAAAAAACAAACAAACAAGCAAACAAAAAAACTGGTCAAGGAAGTAACAGCAAATGGTCATGGACATCTGTGTTACGGTTAAACAGATCCAGCAAAAATTTTAGGAAGGATGGTCTGAATATTTATCCATTACAAGACAAGTGGGTCTCTGGGCCTCTCATTAGGCGACCAGGGTGGGATGCAGTTCTCTCTAGTGGTAATTAGGTTTTAGCCCCTTTTCTTTGCAATCAGGGGATCTTGGGAGAACGGTGGAGAAGCTCTAGCCCTGTGCTCTCCGAGGGTGACCATGGACCACGTGGGGCTGCTGAGGACTGGAGAATTAGCCAGTCCAAATGGACAGCATGCTGCCTTTGGTAGACTTAGTATGAAAAAGAATGTCAAGTATCTCATGAATACTTTTTCTACTAATTACCTGTGGAAACAATAATGTTGGAACAAAGAAGTATATTATGGAAATTACTTTTACCTATTTTCTTTTGTTTTTTAAAAATGTGGCCAGTAGAAAATTTACAGTTACATGTGGGACTTCTACTGTATTTCTATTGGAGAATGCTGGTCTAGGCCCTACAGAAAAATGCACATCAGGTCTGCAGATGCTTCAAGAGGGTTCCCACGCCCTTTGATCCTTTCTATGGGCCACAGGGGGCCCAGGTCAGGGTTTATTCTTTGGGGGGACGTGCTGTGTGAGAATGACTCTTTCCATTTTTTTTTTTTGGATGCTTCCATGCCAGTTAATTACCTTTTTTTTTTTTTCTTAAAATTACCAAAGTCATGGGAAAATTCTTCAGAAACATATCTTTGGTAAAGGAGAACCTTCTAGACTCGGGGAGCTTGCAGCAGAACCTTCCTAGGGTCAGGTCCACACACTCAGTTCTGCCACCTGGGCCCATCATCACCTAGGCAGCATCTTTTAGGGGCGGCTGGGCTATGGCACGCATAACCAACCAATTCCTGAGCTACCTGGTCACTGGCAGGAAGAGAGAACACCCACCAATCCTAAAGGCATTTTCTCTCTGGGCATGATATCTAGTTTATATTCCTTGGCTGCTGAATTGTCCTCCTCATTTCCCCTAACACCAAACTTTGTTTTGGACAAAGCTGATTGAAGGAGGGGTAGGTGGTACAGGTTTTTGCTGACCTAGAAAAAGAAATACCTTGAGATGAAGAATTCCACACTGAGAACCAGGATTTGAAGGTATCCAGAGACTGCAAACTCTGTGACTAAGTGTGGCTTTTAGAGCAAGGCAAAACAAAGCAACTCCTCCTTGGACTTAGAACTTCCATTATTTAGACAGTCAGTTTCAGCCACATAGGCATGCTGAGTCTCAAAAAGCTGTTATATATTACATGTCAAGGAACTCTGCCTGCCCAAGGTGGAAAGTCTGCTGTATGTCATCACTCACTGCTAAAAATGGGTCCCCCTGGCAAAATGCTCATTAGTAGTCCTAAGACCGGAAGGAGCCTCGGGCATCATCTTGTTAAACGCCTTCTCTTTACAGACACTGAAGCCGAGGTCCAGCAAGCACGCGGCTCATCTCCGCCTCCTGACTCTGGACTCAGCACTGACTTTACTCCTCCCTGCCTTGGAGACCCTGGATTTCATGACAGGAAGTGTCGGACTCCTACCGAGATGTGACACTTCTAAAGGTGGGTGACCATTTTCTCTGCCCTTGCTGCCTACTTAGAAAGCATCAAATAGGAAATCGTTAAAGGGAGAGAAAAAAAAGAGCCTTCAGTGGCCTCCCCTGACACCTCCACCGTGTTCCAGCAGGCAGCACCGTCTTACAGCAGAACCAAACTCTTGTGCTTGCTTGAGGATGAGTGTGGCAAGGTAGAAGGGCCTCATCACATACGTAAATAACTCGGTGAGAGCTTTCTTTCCCAGGTAACCCATGCCCAGCAGCATGGCCTTTCACAGATGTCGAGGTGATCCATCTAATGGTCCAGAGAAACAATTTACACTGCCTTAGTCATCCGTGCATCTGGAGAATCTCAAATGTATTACAAAATTGCCCACTGAAAAAATAGCACATCTCTGTCATAGTTACAAAAAAAGAATAAAAACATAAAGAGTTTAAAAACACCAGGTGGATTTTCAGAATTCATTTTGATACCTCGTTTCCTCTCCCTCTGACTTTGTCTCTCAGTCAGGAGAAACTTGATTTCAACAATTCCCACGCTGTACTTTTTAGATCGAGTGTTCTATTACACCCCACCTCCCACCTCCCACTTGGTATCTAGACGCACTCAGGGGAGCCCTGGGAAGCAGTTTCCTAAGGACTCACCTAAATCCTTTCTTCGAGGTCTGGTGAGGTTGAACAGAAGTGTACTGGAATTAAGGTAAGACCTGGATGCACTCGCAGCCCCCACTGTGTTGGATCCAAAGATGCTTGGATCTTTTCTAAAGCTTCCGTCTCCTGCAGGACCCACTCATGGAGGTAACAGGAGATTGTCGTAGCCTTAGGGAAACCAATGCAACAGACATTTCACTTTCAGGAAGAGTATGTGGTATCTGGTTTGAAAATTAGGCTTGTTGTCCCAGCAACGGACAAGCCCTACAGCCACATACAATGGCGCTAATGCCCCGAGAGGGAAATTGTGATTTCAGAATTTCAGTCAAAGATTCTTAAGACCCAGAGGGATTGACGTGCCTCCCTAGAGCTTCCTTCTCAAGTCACATGGGTCCTTAACAGAGCTGGGCAAGTGGAAGCCAGGGTGTGTAGCTGAAACACATGAGCAGTGGCCTCCGCAGATTCAGAGCTCGGTGTTGGGGTCTCTGGCAGCTGGGAGTTTTAAGACCCACTTAAAAGAATTTAGATTCTAAACGAAAGCTGGCCTTAGACTGTTTCAAGGTGCCGAGGCACTTCCCAAAGCCATGCACACTTCATGCTGAGAGGTCAAGGCCATTAATCTCAGAGATGGAATACAAACTGGTCAGAGCAGGAACTGATGCTTCTAAACAGAACTCGGTACAAAAGCTGGAGTGAATCAAAGGAAACACAAAGGAGTGAACATAAAGTAAACTATACATAGTCCTTAAAAAGAAACTGCCAAAGAAATCAACCACATTCCCCAAATAGGAAAATAAGACCCCGGGAAAAACTGAAATGAAACTAAGAAGCCCTAAGAGTGTCCTTTCAGTCTGTTTCAGGAACTTCTGAAGTGTGTGTCTATAAGGACATGGGAGAGAAAATCAGCTTTCAGCTTTGCAGGTGCCAAGGCCAGGGCCGGCGCCGACGTGGCCAAACTGCATCCTGATGAACATGACTTTGGATATTGCTTAGCGGTACCATTCTTAAGTGGAGCGCGCTGGAGTTGCCAAGGTGTTCTGGAGACGTGAGTGCCGTGTCCAATCTTGGTGCACTCCTCCCTTCCTTCCCCTCGCGTCCTACCATCCCTTTTTTCTCTATTTGCCGTTTCAAGACTTCACCTCTTCGCAGTCTTGGTCGGTGGAAAGTTCTACATCAGACAGTCCAACCTCCATCGCCATGATCAGTGAGATATCAGAATCACTGCTTATAGCCGGCTCCTGCTCACCTGAGGGGGAAACAAAGTTCATGGTGAACACCGAGCTATGTCTTCAGAGGCTTAATACGACTGCCTTTAATAAGAGTTCACTGATGCCAAAGTCTTGGTGGTACAGTGTCTAGCATAGCTGCCTTCCATTTCACTGACGCCCAAGAGAAGGTATCAGGAAAACTGGCTAGTTTGTAAAAAATAAATACATACGAAAAAAGTCTAGCTATCTTCTCATGCTAAGTGCGTGTGTGGTGAGTCACATCAATTTGTGATCCCACAGACTGTAGCCCACGAGGCTCCTCTGTCCATGGGATTCTCCAGGCAAGAATGCTGGTGTGGGTTGCCAGGCCCTCCTCCAGGGGATCTTCCTGACCCAGGGATCAAACCCACACCCTTATGTCTCCTCCAGGAGCAGGTGGGTTCTTTACTGCCAGTGCCAGCTGGGAAGCCCTTCTCACACTATGAAAAGATGTATCTTATAAGTATATATCTAAGGAGGAAAAAATACACCGAATATCTTTAAGTAAGGCAAGAAATTCTATATGGAAAAGCAGTTGAACAATTCACAGATGAAATGACTGATAAATGTGTATAAAATTTCTAAGAATATTAAAAACATGAACAATAAGAACAAAGGTAAATGTCACCCTGGGGAACTTCCCTGGTGGTCTAGTGGTGAAGACTATGCACTTCCATTACAGGGGGCAATGGTTTGATCCCTAGTCAGGGAACTAAGGTCCTGCACCTGCATGGGGCCAGAAAAAAAAGTATTATGTCATGCTGGGAATATTTGTAAAAAATTCACTGAGGGTTGTATTCTTAACATACAGAGAGCTTTTAAATAAATAAGAAAAACTAAGAGTCCAACAGAAGAAATGGGTAAAGGTTACTGTTATACAGCTCACAAAAGAATGTAATACAATTGACCAATGAATATCAGGTAAAAGGGAGCTACTCCTTTTTGTTATGAAATCTTCACTCTTTAAAAAAGTCTGTATTACAGTTAAGGGTACATTGCAGTAGATGTTTTGATCAACTGCATTCAGAACTATGAAATTTTCACCCTGTAATTTCATTTCCACAGTATATTACAGAGAAATAATCAGAGATGCAAAAATATCCATTTAAGCATTATTTATAGCAGCAAAACACTGCAAGTAACAAAGCCTAACAATAAAAAATATCTCAGTAAAACTATGTTACTTCTAAAAGACAATCTTCTTGTTATAATTATTAAAGTGATGTTTCCAAAGAGTTTGTATTTACAGAAGAAAATGCTCCCAGTAAATGAAAACAGATGTATTCAAAGCTTTATGTGCAGTGAAGTCAACACAGAAAGTTAACTGGAAGTAAGAAAGCCGACAATGTTAATAAGAGTTGTCTCAAATTTGGGAATTTACAATTATTTTCTTTTCTTTAAAAAATTTAGCTTTACTCCTAAACATGCTTCAGTGAACATATATCATTCATTCACTCAACATATAATTGAGTCCCTACTATATGCTAAGAATTGTGCCAGCTGTAGGGATATAGGGTGAAAATGAGGCAATTTCAGTCCTCAAGGAGCTTACTGTCTAGTAGGCAGGCAGACCATCGACTTGTCAATTACACCCCAACATGATAAGCTCTTTGTTATAAGGTGTACCTGGTGTTATAGGAGGTAAGGGGCTACGCAACCATTTGCTGAGTCTAAGAAAGCTTTCCACTGGGTGCCATGTCTAAACTGAGTCCTATAGGATAACTTGTATTTCAGCCAAATGAATGAGAAGGATGAATCTTTCAAGGACTAGCAGTAGCGTGTACAGACAGTTGGAGTTGATAGACAGCTTTGTGCAGACATCAGTCTATTTACCTATGACTGGGATGCAAAGGTAAGCTAGGGAGTATGAACAGGGGACGCTGGGGAGCTCAGCTGCCTATCAAAGACAGAAAGTGTTAGTTGCTCACTTGTGTCTGACTCCCTGTGACCCAATGGACTATCGCCCACCAGGCTCCTCTGTCCTTGGGATTCTCCCAGGCAAGAATACTGGAGTGGGTTGCCATTCCCTCTCCAGGGGGTCTTCCCAATCCAGGGATTGAACTCGGGTCTCCTGCATTGCAGGCAGATTCTTCACCATCTGAACCACCAGGGAAGCCTATAAGGCAGCTTTAAAACCAGAAGATCTTGTAAGTTCCATTACCCTACAGAAGAAACATGCAGTTAAAAGACCAACAGAATATCTAAGTACTAAAGAATGCAGATGGTTATAATACTTTTGCTCTCATAATCACGGGTATAATTTCTTCATGTTGAGGTACAGTTAAGAAAAAATATATATGAGTTTCATGAAGGGCAGTGAATTTTCAAATGTTTACAAGGAGACAAACAGAGAACTGACAAAGAGTTATGGTCTTAAGAATCAGTTTTAGAGAAATAAAGTGTCTTACAGGGGTGTAGCCAACCTAAAGACCGAGATCTAAAGTGTTTCCTAGACCCGAATGTGCACGAGGTTCACATTAATATAGACAGATCACAATACTGTAAAGTAATTAGCCTCAAACTAATAAAAATAAATTAAAAAAAGGAAAAAATATAGACAGATCAATGGGTAGAATAAAACTTTTGAAGCAGATCTTGGATAGAAGCATTTAGCTTTGTCAATGGTGGCTTTCAACAAATATTCAGGGGACTTCCCTGGTGGTCCACTGGTTAACAGTCTGCCTTGCAATGCAGGGGACACAGGTTTGATCCCTTGTTGGGGAACTAGGATCCCACATGCCATGGAGCAACTCAGCCTGAGCGCTGCAACTGGAGAGTCCATGAGCTGCAACAAAAGATCCCATGTGCCACAACTAAGACCTGACTCAGCCATATAAATAAGTAAATGTAAAAAAACACATGTACACAAACATTCAATAAAACTAGTCATGCAGAAAAAAGGTGAAATTGGATCCTTGCCTCACACCATATACATTCGAGGCTGGCTAAATATCTATAGCTACATCTATTGATCCATCTGTACCTACATCTATATCTGTACCTATGCTGTGCTGTGCTTAGTCGCTCTGTTGTGTCCAAGTCTTTGTGATCCCCTGGACTGTAGCCTGTCAGGTTCCTCTGTCCATGGGATTGTCCAGGCAAGAATACTGGAGTGGATTGTCATGCCCTCCTCCAGGGGATTTTCCCAACCCAGGGATCTAACCTGCGTTTCCTGCATTGCAGGTGGATTCTTTACCAGCTGACCTACCAGGGAAGCCCATCTATATCTGTACCTGTACCTATAGTCCATCTTTATTTTGCCCGTGTGTACTTCCTTCTCATTTATCCTCTTCTCCAGAGCTATCTGGTACCTTACATCCCTGACCGTTGGGGAATTCTTTGATGCAAACTGGGGTGGTCCTCCTCTTCCTCAACTCTGCTTAGCACTTGTTTTCTCCTCATGGTTATGCGCTCAGCACCACCTGGTGGAAGCTTTCACTCTGGAATCGTAGTGAGCAGTGGGCAATGGATTTGGGCAGGACACAATCTGCACAGCCAGAGACAGAGGATTGCTCTGATTTTTAGGTCCACTAAGTCACTGATGCTTTATTCATTTCTTCCCAGTTGCCCAAATTTTGCCAGGGTTTCTTCCTACATTTCCCCTGTCCATGTTGGAAAATCCCTTTGCTATAGCATTTGTGGGGTTTTAGGAGTGCCTAGAAGTAATTTCATGTGTTCAATCCATACTTTTTACTCAGTGCTCTCCATAAGCATCACTTTTACAATGAGAAAATTATATAGGTTTCCCTGGTGGTTCAGATGGTAAAGAATCTGTCTGCAATGTGGGAGACCTGCGTTCAATCCCAGGGTTAAGAAGATCCCCTCCAGGGGTCTCCAGAAGGGAATGGCTACCCACTCCAGTATTCTTGCCTGGAGAATTCCATGGACAGAGGAGCCTGGAAGGTTACAGTCCAAGGGTCACAAAGAGTTGGACATGACAGAGCAACTAACACTTAAAATTATATTTATGAGAGCTGGGATCCTATCTTACTTTAGGAGACTGTAGTCTCAGCTTTGGGAGAAGGCAATGGCAACCCACTCCAGTACTCTTGCCTGGAAAATCCCATGGATGGAGGAGCCTGGTGGGCTGCAGTCCATGGGGTCACGAAGAGTCAGACATGACTGAGCGACTTCACTTTCACTTTTCACTTTCATGCATTGGAGAAGGAAATGTCAACCCACTCCAGTGTTCTTGCCTGGAGAATCCCAGGGATGGCGGAGCCTGGTGGGCTGCCGTCTATGGGGTCGCACAGAGTCGGACACGACTGAAGCGACTTAGCAGCAGCAGCAGCAGCAGCAGTCTTAGCTATAAGTAATTATACATATTACTCTGTATAAGTCACTTTCTCCTCTGGGGCTAAAGTTTTAAAATCTATAAAATGAGAGTTTGTACCAGGTATATCAGATATCTTTCCAGTTGTTACAGTTACTTGTGTATATGTTGATGCAAGTCTAGCACAGTGCCTCAGACATGGTGGGTGCTCTATAAAGAATTATTTAATAGAACTACCAGTGATAAAGAGTTGTAAGTTTCTCTTCTGCCATAACTCTTCAACATGTTGTTTTCTACTAAAAAGTTTTCTCTTAATCAAGAAGAAAGCCTGCTATTGTATATTTAGTACAAGTATGCACTAAATGGGAGAATTCACTGCTCTGAGGTATAAAGAAAACAGGAATGTTCTTACTCCTGGAGATAAAAAATGAGGACTAAGGATATGAAAGCAATGTACGTTTCCAAGATAGATGAATAGATACAGAAAATGTGGTATGTATATACAACGGACTACTACTCAGTCATAAAAAAGAACATGATATTGCCATATGCAGCATCATAGACAGACTGGGAGGGTGTTATGCTAAGTGAAATAAGTCAGATGGAAAAAGACAAATATTGTATAATAACACTTATATGTGGAATCTAGAAAAACAACAAACTAGTGAATACAAGAGACAAGAAGCAAACTCGTAGATACAGAGAACAAACTATGGTTATCAGTGG